CTTCATTGGAGTCTTCCAAGATGCCAGTAATGTGAAATGTATACTGAGGAAAGCTGCAGGAATCTTGCAGTGACCCTATGAGAGGCCATGTGAGGTGCAACCAGCAAAGCTACAGGGGCAAAACTACACAATCCCTGTGGAGAAAACATCACAGTGCCATGTGCCCCAGATGCTGGACATAGAGCTATGGAACTTTTTTGCCCAGCTGGATTTTGGTCTTACTTTAGTCCTATGATTAATTTTTGTGTCCCCATTTCTTCCTAATAAAATGGAAATGTTTACTCTATGTTATTATATATTGGATATATGTAACTTGCTTTTGAGCTTTACAAGTTTTTTTAAAATTTATGAGTTTGCCTTGAATCTCAGATGAGAGTTTGAACTGGGACTTTTGGGTAATGCTGGAACCATTAAGACTATGGGAACTCTTGGAAATGGACTAAATGTATTTTGTATTTTGTGAAATGGGCATGAGTTTGGGGGCCAGAGGCAGAATGTTAGGGTTTAGATATGAGATGTCCCCCAAAAGCTCATATGTGAGACAATGCAAGTATTTTCAGAGGTGAAATAATTACATCATGATAGGTATAACCTAATCAGTGATTAATCCACTGTTATGAATTAACTGGATTGTGACTATAGGCAGGTTGGGTATGCTTGAAGGAAATAGGTCACTGGGGATGTGCCTTTGAAATTTGTATTTTATCCCTGGTGAACAGAGAGTGTGTTTTCTCTCTCTCTCCCTCTCTCCCCCCTTCTGGATTGCTATGTCCTGTACCTGTTTCCTCCTCTAGCCCTTCCACCATGATGTTCAGCCTTACCTCAGGCTCAGAGCTATGGAATTGGCTGACTATGGACTGAACCTCTGAAACCACAAGCCAAAATAAACTTTTCCTCCTCTAAATTATTCTTGTCAGATATTTTGGTCACAGAATGAAAAGCTGACTAAAACAGTCCATTTACACTTGTATAATTATTGATCTGTGTTCCATTTTCCTATTATTTTTCTGCTTATTCCACCTATTTTTCTTTTGCCTTCTTCTGGATTGTTACGGTACTTTTATAATTTCATTTTATTTCTACCCTGGATTATTGGCTATGATTCTTTGTTAAGTATTGTTGTAGGGTTTACAATATATATTTTAACTTACCACATGTTACCTTTATAAAACATAGTACCACTCCACATATATTGGAAGAATGGGCTATTGTGAAATTTCCTATTCTTTGTGCTAATATTGTCATATGTTTTACTTATAAATATCATAAACTGCGTAACAGTCATATTTTTGCCTTAAATAGTCAATTATCTTTTGAACAAATTAAAAAGCAAGAAAAATATATTTCTTTTTAGCTTTTGGTTTCTTTTAAAAAGAGAATAAAAATTATTTTAATGACCTGTGGATTTTTGAAACTACTCATCATATGACATTAAGTAATAGAAACTTTATTTTAGTAAATTTAATTTTAATTTATTTTAATAGGATAACTGTCTCAAGAGCTGTACTTGTCACTCATATTTAAGAAAAAACTGGCTTGGTTCCATTGTCTTACCTTTCTCTGCTCTTCTGCAACAATCTGAGGTAAGAAAATGGTTCTTTGCTAATTACTTTTGGTTAATGAAAATGCTTTATGTTGTTTTTAAATTAGATTCTGTGACCTACTGGTTGGAAAGTTAGTTGAAATGATCCTGTAGGAGAATACTTGGAGGTTCAGAGTGTTTGAGGGTTTTGACTGTCTTTATAACAGGGTATGCCCACAATTTATTTCTTATATCTTTAGAGCATTTACTGAGAAAGAATAACTAGCCTTAGAGCAACATTCATATTTGCATATGTGAATTTTATGAGACCGGGTTTATGAAACATTCTGATTAATGGTGTTGCTTTATAATCATTGAATCCCAAGAATTTCATTTTGTGGGCACTGTTTTTAAGTAATGATGAGACTGATGACTAGAACTGATCTCTGTGAGACCCTCAGAGAGCTCTGCTCTTGGGTTACCTGGCAGGAGAATGCCAAGAAAGCATAAATCCACTGACCTAGACTCCATTCTGAGCTCTGTCGCCCTTAATAAGGGCTCCTAGGCCAGGCACTTGACATCTCCAAGGTTGTGCTAGACTCTGAAGATGTAAAGATTTAGAAGTGGGTTTTCTACCTCAACGAGTTCACTATCTACAGAATAAAACCAACATGTTGGTAATATGCGTTATGCTATCAAGCTTTCGTAGAGGCATGAGAGCTGTACTATGAAAACATATATAGTAGTGCTTTACTCTTTCTGGGCTCTAGTCAGGGCTTGGAGAGGTTGGTGTTGGCTAAGAGAAGAATGAGAGGTCAAGGAAGCCTTCACTGGAGATGACTTTTGAATCAAATTCTTGAAGATGAATTTCTCAAGCAAATGAAGGCATTTGAGTGAGAAGGAATCAGGTGTGTATTAGCTAGGACTGCACTCTGCCATATGTGACAGAAAACTTAACAGTAGGTATGGGGTCTACTGCACTGCCAGCGCAGCAGCTCCAGGATATCATCAAGAATCTAAGCAACTTGTTTTTCTTTCCCACTATTATTATTATATGTCTTTCATTCCCTTAATTGCAAAATATTCACTGCAACTCTAGCCTCATATCTATGTTGCAGCAGGAGACAGGGAGAAACAAAATCTGGCAGTGCCTAACTAGGAAAACAGAAGGTTCCTCAGAAAACCCCAGTGGACTTTTGCTTGCATCTTACTTATGTGACATGGCCTCTACCTGGCTGTCACATTACCAACTAAAACTGTTGATAAGAAACGAAGAGAGAATGGATACTAGGTGGGAGAGCAGAAGTGCCTGCATAACGTGTAGTCACATGATGTCTGAGGGAGCATGCTGCAAATAAAGAGTGACAGGGATCTATGTTGTTGGAGGTACAGACTTCCTACACTCATCAATCCCTGCAGCTACTCTCTGAAACTAGACAGGAGGTAGGCAAGAATGTGGCTTCAGAGATGGACAAACCTGGGTTGTCATCCTGGCTCTACAACTCATTGGTTCTGTGGTCTTCCACCAATTACTTCAACAATCTGAGCCTCAGTTTCCTTAGGTATAAAGTGAACATCAGGACAGTATCTATTCCACTGGGTGATGTCTCTCACACTCTCATGTGTGCATACACACACACACACACACACACACACACACACACACACACACCTGTTCCCTTGTCATGTGTTATCTTTCCTGATATAACATTTTTTCTTCCCTCTGGGTCCAGTCAAAATATAACATAATTGGGGCTGGGATTGTGCTCAGAGGTAGAGCACTCGCCTAGCATGCGTGAGAAATTGGGTTCAATCCTCAGCACCACATAAATATAAAATAAAGACATTGTGTCCACCTATAACTAAAAAATAAATATTAAAAAATATTGGGCATCTTATTAAAATATATATATATAATATAATTGTTAAGCATCTTCTGTGAGCCTAAAATATATTTTTCAAGCACTTTTATCACTATGGTATAGTAATTTGCTTCCTTGCTTCATCTCTTTCTCACTCCTTCCCAAGTACATATTAGGCAGAACCCAAGGTGTCAAAAGTATCTATATATCATCCCAGAGAACCTGGTCATGCTCAATCAAGTACCTGTGTAAGCCTGTTCCCTCTTGCAGAGGAGATGGGGCTGGCCTATAATATATTTAACTATAATATAATTGATATTGATTTTTATCATGCATAATATTATGCCAATATGTTCTTTCAGATTAGTGGAACATTTCAAGTAAATATTCCACCAGTTTTACTTGGGTACACTTGGAGTAAGACTTACGTATCGCCTAAAGAAGATTATTACAATGGGCAGAATTTTAAAGAATGTACCTTCTTAAATATTTTTGCTACTATTGAACCTCAAATATCATACATTGCCTTTAATCCCAAACTAGATAAGGTAGGTCTTACACTGAATTTCTTTTAAATACGTTATCAAAGAAGGATAAATTATTTCAAAAATCAATAATTTCAGAGCTTAAACATTGGCTTTTGTTATTTTCCTTTGGGAATAATATAGTACAATGCTGAAATACTTTCAATTTTATTCTAGTTTTCAGACCAAACAGATGTTTTGCAGAGAGCACAGGTTTTTAAAAAAAATTGTAAACTAGTGTTTCCCAACAGAAGAATCATAACTACTGTTTTTAATGATGAAGGGATACAGATATTAGTAACAAGATATATCAAGGCATTAAATCCACCTCGACAACTCCTGGATACATTTCTTCATGATTCTAATGCAACACTTGTAAGTAACAATTACTTTAAAAAAACAAATTTGCTGTGATTAAAGAGTATCTATGAAGAATCACATATGCCTTTTGTTTATTTGGGTTCAATCTAGTCAGTTGTCCTTCCTCTGAATAGTTATAGTATAAGTGAGTTATAAAGTATATGTGAGTTATAAAGTTCCCTTTAAGTTAAAATCGAAAGTCTTGATTCATGTTGCTTTTGCTATTATCTGCTTTTCTGTTTCTTCCTGCATAGGTGTCCAGGAGATAATAGAGTTCTCAGATTTATGTCAAAGGCATATCTTTTATGTTTAAATAAATAAATCTTTTTTAAAAAAATTTTTGGTTGTAGTTGGACACGATACCTTTATTTTTATTTTTATGTGGTGCTGAGGATCGAACCAAGCACCCCTCATGTGTTAGACAAGTGCTCTACCGCTGAGCCACAACCCCAGTCCCTAAATAAATAAATCTTAACTTTCCTTGCCAAGGACTGTGAACCATATGTATTAACTGCATGGAGCCACCAGTGTAAAAGGTCATAATAGTGCATAAATGTCAGCTACTGAACATTAATGAAAATGATAATGAGCTTTCTGTGTTAACTTATTATTATTTGCTTAATACAAAGGAATATAACCCTTTCTCCCTTCTTCCCTTACTCTGCATCTTTGTCTCCAGCACCCTATGGGGGAAAATCGACAGTAGAAATTTTGCTATTTGAGAAAGCAGACTATACCACTATCTCTTGTGGCAGCAGCTTATAACAAGTTTACATTGAAAAAAATAAATTCAGGCTTTCAACCTAAAAGAAAACATTTTAAAAAGTTTAACATTTGTACTTTCTACCACATGTTTAATGTTGATGCATATAGTGTAGCTTATAACAAGCTTACATTGAGAAAACCAATTCAGTCTTTGAACCTAAAAGCAAATCAAACATTTGCTATTTTGCAACATCTTTTTAAATTTTCAACATTTGTACTTATGGTGAATATTTAATTTGATGCATATTGTTATGTTTAATTTTTAATAATTTATTACAATAAAATTTAATTACTAATTGCCACAGTCCAGCTGGGCAAATAACCGGGAGGTGACAAGCAACTTGAAGGTTGAAACAGGAACTGCTTTATTACGGAACAACAGAGGTATAGATAACCAACTGATTACACACAGCTTGACTCAATTAGCATTATCTAGATACAGTAGTCAGCCAATAAGGAATCCTCATCATCTTTTTTTTTTAAGATTTTCCAATCAGTTTATTTAGATTGAAAAAACTCAGAAGCTCTGGTGACCTTCAGATAACATCAGAGTGTGGCAAAGAAATGGGCCATTGCAATATTAGTGATTGCTCTGTGCGCACCCCTCTGTGGCTAACAATGCACTGCTTTACATTTCCTACGTCAGCTTTGCATTTATGGTTTTTAGCTAACATGGTCCTTAGGATGATAGTCCTAATAGGATCCAGGATCCTCCCTCTTCTCCTGTTGGTCTCTGCCTCTTCAGGCTCTTCATTTGTTGTGCTGGGGTTTTAAGCTCCTTCTGAGCAAGCTCTGATGCCTTCTCTGTGCAGGTGTCAACAGTGGTGGTGCTCCCAGGGGTAAATGATGGAGTTCTCTCAGGGTTCCACGGGGCTGTCACTGCACAGTGCCCTGACTGCACCGCCTCCCCTCCCAGTTGCCTTTTGCTGGGATCTCCTCTCCCTGGGGACAGGTCAGTGGGAATCCTCATCATCTTAATGGCTCCGTGGTATTGCCTCACAAACCACTCCTCCTGGCAAACTGCCAGGTGCCATCTTGACTTGGTTGCAGTCCTCAACAACTAATGTGCACTCTGGAGTCAGGCCTTCTGTGCTTCATCCCCACAGGATCCACATTACATATTAGCTGTGTGACCCTAATAGAATATCTTATCAGTTTTAAGTTTGGTTCTTCTTCCTTAAAACTAGAATAATAATAGTGTCTGTAGGCTTGTAGAGTATACTATATGAGATGTGTACTAAGTGAGATAAAGTTTGCAAAGCACTGTGCTCGTGATGGAGTTCACACTCAGTAAATGTTAATGTGATTCTAGGACCTCATTGCTCGATTTGTGTCTTTGATTCCTTTTATGCCTGACACACTGGATGAAAATGCTGATTGTGATATATGGATAACATCAGAGGTAACAGATTACATTTTGTAATTAAAATATATTTATTACTTTTCTTTTTTAAAATATTATGTATTTAGTACTTGTGAAATTTAAAAGTATTTGATAAATTTATGTATCAATTTCAGCTCTGTAGCAATCTACGGAAATAATTCATCAAAGTCAGAAATCTTTTCAACATTCAAGTGGTAGCCCATGAATATTTTGATTCAATGAAAATTTCAGGAGTGCAATATTATGACATTCTTGAGAGAGCAGTATAGCTTGTCACTATGGATGTGGTCAGGCTGAAGGCTACAGCCAACATCACCACCTTCCCAAAGCTTTCCCCACTCCCCTGATCTGAATGAAGAGCTCATCTAGTACTGCTCTTCCTTAGCAATTGGATTAAAATTCTTTTTAGACTGATTGACAAACAAATATAGGTCCTGGGCAATATTGAGAACATACTCATATTAAAAAGCTACTCATCTGTGTAAAATTCAAATTTAACTGGGCATCCTATGTTTTTTTTCCTAAATCTGGCAACCCTAATTTTAGTGGTTCTTCCATAACACCTTAGATTATATTTAATTACTCCTGAATTCATCCTATATCCCACACCTTGTATTCATATATTCTAATTGTAACCTTCCTGAATATAGAAGGAAACCTAGTTCTTATTTATTCTTCTGCTTATCACTTGGATGCTGCTTTCAGTTTAGCAGCACTTAATCTGGCACTTAATCTAGAATAATTTAAGGGCTGAGTTTGAGCTAAAATGGGTTTAGGGTGCACAGAGCTAACTTAATAGCTTCAGTTTCTCTGCCTTCTGCTAAGGGAGACCAAGGGAGACATATGCACATGATTAGGTATCAAGCTCCAGTAATTCAAACCTGGTGGAATTTAGAAAGGTGTTATTCAGTCTGTACTCTTCTGAGACTCTTTAATCTGAAAGTGTTCAAGGATATTATAATCCTATAGAACACTGAAAGAGACTAAGCTAAAAGTAACTATGCCAGCAAATACTAGTATCTGAGTCTCCCAACCTAAATGATGCACATAAATAGGAGGTTGCTACAGGCTTGGGATTCCTCCTGATTAATGTTTTCCCACTGATGAAGTCACCAGCCACAAGATGCTCCAGAACATATGATTAAATTTTTCAAGATAAAAATTATTGATTCCCACCTAATATACAGTTTTAGGAGTCAAGTGAACCTGGATTCAAATCATAATTTAATGACTTGAAAGTTGCATGATCCAGGAAAAATTATGCAACCTCATCGGACCTTAGTTTCCTCATCTATATCATAAAGAAGTTTTGAAAGGACTAAATGCAAAACATCTGAAACTCAGAAAGAAAACATTTACATTCGCTTATTCTCTCCCTCTTCTTGCCATGAAATTCAGTCAGGGGTACTTCCTCAAAGTCTCTCCATTTCCTTTTAGCTCTTGTGTTCACATTATTCTTTCAGGAGGGCCTTCTTACCATTTTCCTTCCATCCCATGATCGCATACAGCCTGTGCATACTAACATGGCCATGTCAGTTGTTAAAACATCAAAACGCTTCCATACCCATTGGTAAACCCCCCCCACATCTCCTTGGCATTCTGGGGACTGAAATGAACAAGATCACATGACTCAGCTAAAGCGAAGCTGCTTTAGCCTGCAGTGTAGCTCTGTGAAAGAGTGCTTGCCTATCAGGTATGAGGCGCTGGGTTTGATCCCCAGCACTGAAACATACGCACACAAAAACATACACACACCTTTTTTCACATATATATGGAGTATTTTGCATTTAAACATTTGGGCACACATATTTGGTAGATCTTTGTAATTCTTTTCAACAGAAACTAGAAACAGAATTTTATAGAAATTTTCCTTTTATTAAAAAAAAAAATTCTAGGGACAAAGCAAAATATACCTGTAGACAAAATCTAGGTTATAAACCACTAGTCTGCCACCTCTGCTGGTACCTCACCTTACTAGGTACCCTGTATTTGATCTTATACCGTGCTCAGCTGCTCAGCTCTTTGAATCATTCTTTCAACTCAGATTTCCTCCTTCCTTTAAGTTGAATATTATATTGGTACAGGACAGAATGTAGTTCCATTGTCCAAAGGGTTACCCAACCCCCAAACACTATGCCATTCCCCGTCTGATAAGGTTCCTCACAATACTGATTTATATGTCCCTGCTTGTCTAGATCAGCTTAATATTTGTCCTAAGAAAAACATCCTATTTTGGGTGCAATTTATCTAGGCACTCTACAATATCTATACTGTGTCCCCACACTGTGGGGTGAACCCAGTGTTCTAAGTGAATGTTTTCTTCTAATGCCTAACAAAACCAGAGCTTTCTGATTTGCTGTCATCTTAGCAACATGGTTAAAAATATAATTATGTCTAGAACTGGAGGGTGCAGAAGGCCCTACCTACATTTGTTGGATGCATGTATTACTCAACCTCCTTCCTTCTTTCCTTCCTTCCTTTCTCTCTTCTTCTTCCTTTGTTGTTGCTGTTCTTGTTGCCTTTTTTGTTTTTGCCTTAGCGCTGCATCAGTTTGGCCCTTGGAAATAAGGAAGAGCATGCCATCCTTCTCTGTAATTTCTTTCTGTATTTTGGAAAGAAGGCACTGGTCCTCCTGGGAACCTCATTATTAGAAGTAAGTGCTGAAATAGTGAGAGAAAAATTAAGTCAGATTTCAGCTACAAATTTAAAATATTTCAGCCCCAAGTTTTCATCTTTTTGCAAGTTAATTAGGGAATTTCGTGGGCAAATAATTAAATTAAGAGGATAATGTTGGTTCATAAAAATAGTGCTACTTCTTGAGTTTTCTAGGAATATTAAATTACCTAGTACATATAAGGCACTGAGAATAACACCTGTTAATGGCAAATACACAATAAATTGTGCTGATGGTGGTATTATGTAGCATTAGTTTTAGTGAAGTTGTGGTGGCTATTATCGATCCATCATTACCAACATCATTATTCTGTGTTCTAATATTATATTTTAAGATGTTTAACAAATAATTTCCATAATGACCCATTTTCCAGGATTTTATCTATAAGAACAGGCTAGAAATTCATTACCTATCTGAAATTTTTACAGCTTAATATATTTACTTCTCCTGAATTCATACCTCCAGGAAGCTGTCTTTTTGGACCAACCCTACCATGAATGTCTTTCTAAGTGTAAACTTTTCACTCTGGACTTTTGGGGGTTTTTTTATGGTCACTTACTTCATTATATTCTCTTGACATAGCTTATTATTTCTGTATCAAGTGTTAACGAACAGCCAGCCTGGGGTTGATTTCCCATATTATCCCCTGCTGTAGTTTTAAGGGCCACTGGGTGCCAGTAAACAGCCAACAGTATTTCAACGAATCTTTGCATTTGTACCTGGGAACCAATGAGATGGGAGGCAGCCTTGGGTTTCAGCTAGCTGTGGTGAAGGGGCAGCCTCCTCTTTACTAGAGGGAAGCTGAACACAGTGATGAAGAACGAGAGCTTTGGAGTTAACATAATGTTAAGTTAATTTTGTCCCTGAGTTTGGGGCACAATCAGACAGGGGTTTAAAACCCTGTAGTACCACTTACTATTTGTATAATGTTAGCTGTTTTGCTTCTCTGAGCCTCAGTTATCTACTAACAGACCTGGAATAATTCCACTTTCCTTTACCCCCAACAAGTCCCTTGACCTCTGATTCTTCATTTGGAAGGCGGGCATAATAAACATCCCTACCTCACAGAATTGGGAGTGACTTAAAGTGAGAAAGTCAGTGTAATTCTTACCATAGTGCTCAATACATATAAATGCATAAAATATTTTAAATGCTATTATTACTATTTTTTATTACCTGACATATTTATTCTTTTGCTAAGAAAGTATTACACCACAGAATAACAATATGACTTGTTTTTATTCCTCAGTCCGGTTTCCTTTATACTTTCGCTTTAGCCTCTGATTCCAAATCTTGTTCTCAAATTTAATTTAGTGACTTTTTTACTTCTTTAATGGCTCTGTCAGAATCTCAAAGCAGTTTCTATTCCATAACTCAGCCTGGTGTTCATCCTCAGTCTTAAATATACTCTATCCCCAGTGGGGCTGGTTAATAGGGCACCCTGTGTGAATTAAACAAAAGGGCCCCTGCCTCAAAACTTTAGTGCCATCTGTTGGAAATCCATGGTAATACACTGACTCTGCTAGAGTAACATTGTATTGCAGTCAGGGTGCACCTGCAGGATCAGGCATGGCGGCACCAGCACATAAGTTTTTTCATTTGAATTCTCATGCTAACCTGGCCTACGTATTTATGGAGCTTTGAGGGGTTTGTATTTTCCTTTTCAAAAAAAATGTAAAAGCCCTTTAAAAAGTTCCTTTAAAAACTGGAATTATTAAATTACAATTCCCACATACAGAAGTTAGTTAAATCCATCAAAAAGGACTTAAAGGGATGGGGATGTAGCTCAGTTGTAGAGTACTTGCCTAGCATGTGTAAAGCCTTGGATTGGATTGGATTCCCAAAACTACAAAAGAAAAAAAAGATTTCTAATCTTTTTTCTTATACAGGGACATGTGGCTTATGTATTAACTCAAGAAATTGATGAATATTTGCTTTGGAATCCATCAACTGGGCAATGCCACAAGAAGTTTGATCCATTTTGTCCCTTACAAAGTGTAGACTGCTTATTCAATGATAGAAATGCAAGTATCCAGGGTAGATCTTATTTTGAATTATGTTCTCAAGAATCATCCTGGTGGGCTGGGGTTGTGGCTTAGTGGCAGAGCACTTGCCTAGCGTATGTGAGGCACTGGGTTCAATTCTCAGCACCACATATAAATAAATAAAATAAAGGTCCATTTATTTAATTTATTTTCGACAACTAAGAAATATGTAGGAAAAAAACAAAAACAAAAACAGAATCATCCTGGCAATATGATAGGGTTTTTTGTGTGTGTGTGTCTTTTTTTGGAACTGGTGGTTGAACCCAGGACTTTGTGAACACAAGGCAGATGCTTTGCCACTGAGCTACATCCCAGCCCATGGCAACATGTTAGCTGGAGAAGTCTGAAGATGTGTTCAATCAGAGTCCCTGGGGTACAGGAGTTGGACAGTCTCTTATCCTTAAAGCTCCCCTAGATGATTCTGTAGGGCCTTTGAGATAGAGAACCAATGATCACAAAGCGCTGGGGTCTGCTTCTGCCTCAGACCCTGTTTGGCTTCTGCCACTTCATTGAAGTAGTAAGATTATAAATTTCACTCCATCCTAATCACTATGGGCCTTGTATTCCCGTGGGCTCAAACTGATCTTATGTTAATCTTTTAATAGGTCTGGTTTAATATTCAACAAAATAACACACCAATGGCTGTGCATTTTGACTATTCAAAGGAAAGTTTCTGGAAACAGTTGTTTCCAAAAAGTTTCCAGGGGATGCAAACACAAAGCATTCAGGTAAGTCATGTTTTCTAGGTGTGTCTGTATGAGAGTCACCATTTCTTCTAGTGACAGATCTTGTTATATTTTATAATTGATTGCTTATTGAGTTATTTGGAACTGCTCATCAAAAGTTAGTTTTCTTTGCCATCCACAAACACATCTGTGTTTGAATTACTTTGACTCCTTCCTCTGTCTTCAGCAAAAAAACAAATTGAGAAAAAATATCTCAAATATAAATTTAGACTTTATAATTTTAAAAAATTTCATCATAAACCTAGCATATAATGTTCAAGATAGGTGAATAAGTTCTGACATTGACTTAGCCTTGCTACTCCACATTCGTGGTGATCATCAAGTGTAAAATCAATAAACACAAAAATGCTTATTTGGGCTCACAGTGGTTATCTCATGGAATGGAAACAGGATGGAAACACTAGCAGTAAGGCTGAAGCAGGGATGGCAACAAGGATCTGAAAACGTCTCAGGAAAATCATGGAGCAAGATTAAGCATCACATTTTGAAGTCAAGAATTATGATGTGGCTCCCCTACTGCCCTGCTTTTGGAAGAAGATGGGGAAAACCCCTGAGAATGTGCTGCCTGGGGCTCAGGAGGCAGGAGGCCAGGAGCTGACCCAATCCCTAGATGTCTTGGCCAGCGAATCTGTCAAGTACTCTGTCTCACTTTGGGAAGGCACTCCAAATATCATGCCCACGGATATTTCTAAATGAGGACCATGGTATGGAAGGACACAGGCATTTGCAAAGTCCACAAACTAGGAGCTGAGAGAAAAAACAGGAAATAGACAAAAACAAAATAGACAAAAGACAGCTTACCTTCACTCATAATCAGGAAATTCAAAACAATAAAACAGTATTCACATGCATAAAATTGACCAAAAAACAAAACAAAACAAACAAACAAACCCGTGATCACACCAACTATCAAAGACGCAGAGAAATGATAGAAGTGTAAATTGTTGCAATCTCGTTGGAAAGCAATATGGTATCTGGTAAGGTTGAAGATACTCAATCTGTGATCCACCAATTCAAATCTGTGCATAGATACCCTAGAGGAACACTCCCAGAGAGAGAAGTACAACAACGTTTATATGAAAGGATTGCTTAAATAGCAAAATGACGGAAACAATTCAGCAATTAGACAATCAGTACATGAGTTGTGAAGTATCCATACAATGAACTCTTCCATACAGCAGTGAAAAAGATATGAATAAATTCAACATAGTTCTCAATTTGAACATGTGTTCCATCAGAATTTCTGAGGGTGAGACCTATACGTCAATATTTTTTAAAGCCCCTCAGGTGATTCTAGTGTGCAGCCAATATTGTGAATCACTAGCCAGGCCTATCGACATGTATGAATATTTTTTTTAATGGTAAACACCAGGTGCACAGTGCACCCAGCAATTTGGGAGGCTAAAGCAAGAGGATCCTCAACTTAGGGAGACCCTGTCTCTAAATAAAAAAAGAAGTACTTGGGATATATCTCAGTGGGAAAGCACCCTTGAGTTCAATCTCTAGTACCAAAAAAAAAGGTAATGTTAAGCAAAATTAAAAAAATATATGTGAAATGATACATATTATACAAAACCATTTATATGAAGTTTTAAAAACTCGTGTGCGCATGCACGTGTGTGTGTGTGTGTGTGTGTGTGGGTGGGTGTGTGTGGGTGTGTAGAAAGACAATGATGTATAAAAGCATTTGTGGGACTGATAAATACTAAATTCAGGTTTGTGGTTACCTTTGGGGGGAGAAATAAATGAATGAGATCAGGGAGCAGTAGTACTTCAAGTACTAGATTTTTTTAAAAATCTAGAACAAATATGGAAGAATGAATGCAAAGATTAGACATAGCTGAGTGGATGTCCATTACATCATCCTCTATGCTTGTAAATTCAAGACAATCCAAAATATCAAAAAGAACAGTGGTGGTGGGTTGGGGTTGTGGCTCAGCTGTAGAGCACTCTCCTAGCCTCCTAGCACGTGCAAGGCCCTGGGTTTGATCCTCAGCACCACATAAAGATAAATAAAGATATTATGTCCACCTACAACTGAAAAAAAGAACAATGGGGAGGGACAGGACATGACACGACAGTACATGATACCTCGAAGAGTAGCAGAGTTTATAAAGGCAAGAGCTTCTCTCATGTTCAACGTTTTTCTCCCATCCTTAAAGAAAAACTGCTGTTCATTGTTTCTTGTGCTTCCTTCTAAACATTCTCCATGCAGATCAAGCATATATACATATTTTTATGTTTCCTATTTGAAACATTGTCTTGAAAAAGGGGAAACTTTTTGCTTCCATCTCTCTCCTGATCAAGCCACATTTAGAGCCTTTACAGCTCATGCCTTGCTTTCCCATCCCACAACTGTGGCTGGAGCCTCACTGCCTCCTAGGAGGACAGTGATCTATTTAGAGATGAGGTTTTTTGTTTGTTCAATACACAATTATCCTCTTATTCATTCAGGTGATATTAATTGATTTCCTGCTGTGAGTCAGTGCTTTGCTAGGTGTGGGTACCCCAAGGGAAAAAATACATCTTAGAGGTCTTGGAGGAGGAAATAGAAGGAGACAGACAAAGAAGTGGTGAGTGATCAGTGCTATTTAAAAAATAAAAAATGAGAAAGCTTTGGGAGCGTGCAGGAGGTCCTGAGGAAGTGGAGTTCCAGAGCTCCAGGGAAAAGCTGTGACAAGCTAAGTAAGGAGCTTGCCTACATGAAAGTTAGAGATCAGAATGGTCCACCGGAGAGGGCAGCAGCAGGCGGGAAGACCGGCGGTGGTGAGATGTCTGTCAAGGAGCTGACTACCCTACGTGGCCGCGGCCAGGGCTGAGCAGAGACCTGGTAAGGATTCAGGTCTTTATCTCCAGGGCAGTCAAAGCCAACATCACTACAGCAGGGGCTGCCATGATCAAACTACTTTTTAAAAAGCCTTCTGACTCAGTAGAAACTAAATCTCTCTACCAAGTTGAATGCACAAATAGAAAACCTATAGTGGTGTTGGATCTATGTCTCCATTGATTTCTTTTCTCTGGGTTAATGGTCCTTGTTCTTGCACCTTGCCACATTCACCCCAGAACAAACCACAACTAAAGTGAACACCGTCTGTTACATACAACCAAGAACACAAATTTGAGCATCCATGATGAGCATGTGGGTATTCAGAGATGGGGTTGACAAGGAAACCCTCTTGAAGTATTGAGGGACATGAGTTCCTGGAAAGAAAGTGGCCTTTGCCAGAAGAAAAACCAACAGACATCCTGTAAACTTACCAAGTCAACATTCCCAGGCCTCGGGGTGGGACCTGGAGGGGCCAAGCTCATCCACAGCAGTTGCCTGGTGAAAGATGGGAGGTAGACAATGGCGGTGCGAACCATCAGGGAATGCAGGCCACTGGTGTGTATGGAACGGCTGCTGTCCCTTTAAAGACAATGGAGTTCATCCTTGCCTTTCTCAAGGATGACTCTTGAGGAGACTCCCTGGACCTGAGACTGTTATTTAATGGCTCATCAACCATGCAGGGCATCTAAACCACCTGGGGGGCTCATTAAAACACAGATCACTAGGCCGCACTCCAGAGTTTCTGACTCATTGGATCTGAGGAGAGGGCCAGAGTGTATTTCAAATAAGTTCCTGACTCTAGGATTGCTGGTCTGGGCCATGCTTGGGGAACCTCTAGGCCTATCCCTTTTGCCTACTTTTGTAGAATCTTCATTCCACTCGTGAGGGGAACATCTTTCCCTGTCCCTACAGCTGCCTACGCTCTCAAAACCCAGCCCCTTGCTCTCACTCTTGTGAGCCCTGCAGGGAGGGGAGAGTTGAGTTGAGAGGGCACTTGAGAAGTTCTCCCCTCCTCCTAGAAAATTCTGTCTAGGAGGCGAACCTGAGGAAGAACCCGAGGAAGAAGGAAGAACTGTGCCTCAGGGCTGTTGGGAGCGTGGGCCTGTGGCAAGAGCTCAGAGGTGGGGGAGGGTAAAATGGATCTGGGTGTGTGTGAGATTAAGTGCACATGCACACACATGTAAGTACAAAGAATTGGCTCCCGACAAGTATAAGAAGCAAGCACTCAGAAGATAATGATAAACTTTGTTAGAAGAGGACTAATAACAATAGCATTAAAGTCTGATGTTCATTGAGTATTCCATGGGTCCGGCTTTACACATACTACTCTATTTAAAAATCTTCACACACAAAAAAAAAAATCTTCACAAGATCCCAGAGCCGTGGGCACTGTAACTGTCCCTGTTCTAAAGAGGAAGTAACAAACTCAAAAAAACAAATTAGATAACTTTGCCAAAGTCACAGTAGGCATAAGAGACCAGTGCAGCTGTCAAAGACTATTTGGTAGAATCAATAGCATGTCAAATGCTTGTTTGAATAAATGAGGTGATGAGAGGTCTCTTACTCATGGAAAATTATTTTTTTTATTTTTTATTTTTTTGTAAATCCATGCCCTCTCCCTTGCTCTGTTGAAGCAATGTTGAAATCAAAGGAAATACTGTGATCTATGTTTTACCAAAAGGATGGAGTGTTTTTGCCATGAGAGATAGGCTTGGGTCCCCTAGTCTTAGCATCCCAGGGGTAACTGTAATATAAAGATGGCCTCTCTACAATCTTTCCTGACTTTCAATCATCTGTATTTCAGCCTGAAGAAATCATTTATTCTGATACTAATAAAAGCATGGTAGAAGATCTAAAGAACAGGTACCGTGGTCTCCTGCTAATCTCTTATTCAGTCACATTTCATTCCTCTATCCCAGCCTTTTAAAATACCTGTTAGATTCACCAAGAGAAGCATGAAAAGGAAGACATTGACCATTAGTTCCATTGAGCCACCTGTCTCTTGACAAGACACATTGAAAAGCGAACCCTCTTATCATCCAGGGCACTCTTTGAATGGACAGTCCAAATTAAGTCGGGAGAACACTGTAGGCCACTGATGGAAAGTTCCCAGCACAGATGCCTGGTGAACCTAAGCTAATAACAATGCAGCAGTTAATGCTTCTTGGAAGTACATAAAGGAAAATGACAGTGACCCAGAGAATGGTAAAACATCCCATTTGAATGATAGATACAGTGTTATTGTTGCTGCATGCAGGTACCTTGAAATGTTCAGTCAAGTCCAAAGGGTCACAGACTTTGCAGCAGGCCTCACTTCTAATCTAAATGCATCAGAAGCTTTTGGGTCTGACTGTCTCCAGTGACTTACTCACACTGCAGATACTCCACTACCAACTAATCAGAACAGTGTGATGAAAATCATCTGGCCACTCCTTTTTCTCACTGGAACACAATCCACTTCACCCTCTGTTGTTTTCTTTCCTCATTTGCCAGTTTTTAACAAGTTTACATTTAAAATTTTTTTAATTACATGTCCCAGGGCTCAGTACAGACTTCTTGAATTTTTATCTGGAGGTGAAAGAAACATTCTGATAAAGCCCTGCAGGGGATTCTGAGAATAGCTACTCTTGTGATCCTCTGCAAACTCCTACCTATTTAGCTGCATCATTAAACCTAGCCAAGAAGAAACTCCCAGCAGCTTTTGTAACACACACTGTGGTTAGAAACAAAATCCATGCAGTCATCCTACACAGAAGAGAGGCTTCCCAGGAGGTCCCCATCAACCATACTGTTCTGCCTTCCCTCCTCTTCCCAGCACAGTTCCTCACCAGACACTGTTCTAACTGATAAACCCTCATTGAGCTATATTCTTGTAGAGGAAGGCTGATCATCAAACCCATCAGTCCATTGCCTGGTTTCCTCTCAACTCTGCTTATTAAATTAACTGATCTAATAATCTTGTCCCTGTTAACATCATCCCAGGCAAGATATCTGAGTTTCCGTATTCTTAGAAAAACAATGTCATATATCAAAGAAAGGTCTTACAGAGTAGGGATGTTGGTCAATAGATGTTTTCAGCAGCTTCTTAACTCACGGGTAACTGGAAAAGAGTTGTGCTCCAGAGACCTAGTTTCTGGCCAACCAATCTCCAGCCAACCAACCCCTGTTTCTTCCTAACTTCATTAATGTGAATGGTGGCAGACGGCCCTAGCTAAAGAGGTCTGGTTTCCTCTTACAACCAAAAAGCATCATTCTCATACTTAAAGAATCAAATGACAAAACTCTCATCACACTTACTAAATGTGTTGTAATTTGTCACAGAATTATCTTTGCATTCTTACCTTAGGATTGAAAGGACTCTAAAATGTAAGATCATGGAATGGAGACCTAAACACCCAACACGCTGGAATCGACAATGTATTTCTATTTTGCGACAACTCCTTCCTAAGCTGGAACTTGGCACAAGAAGCTTTGTTTCATCTGAAGAAGAGAGTGAATTTGAAAGACTGATGCAATTTTATTGGGTTTGTATATGATTTCATGCATTAATAACCTTGGGTTATCTGTGTTGTTCATTGCCAAAAAATAGCAATCTTCAATATTTCTTAAGTGCCTTTTATCTTTGTCCTACAAGATAGATGCTATGGCATTAAAATGTATTTACTTATAAACCAAGGAAATTGCCAATGTAGTGAATAATTATTATAGAACCATATTGTGTGGCATTTTCTTGGGACAAGTTGCATGTTTTTTGACATATGAACTACAAAATTTGAAAAGTGATACCCAAAAGAACACACACTGCAACTGAAAATTGAAAAATGATCTCCAGTAATAGACTGGACTCCCTGTTATTCTGGGCAAGAGGATTCTAGGCAAGCTTCAATATCTCCCATATTCAAATTGCTCCCAAATGTATACATTCTGCCTGGACTTTTTTCTTTCTTTTTTTTTTTAATGTTTATTTTGTTTTGTTTTGTTTTAGGTGGACACAGTATCTTTATTCATTTTTATGTGGTGCTGAGGATCGAACCCAGTGCCTCGCGCATGCCAGGCATCGCGCTACCACTTGAGCCACATTCCCAGCCCTTGGACCTTTTTCTTGACCTCCCTTCTTATATTCATTTGTCTAGTGACATCTTGAATAGTAAAGAGGCATCTCAAACTCAGCAAGTCCACAGGCAAACAGGTTGGGCTTTTGGTATTTGTTAGGGTCCTCCTTTCCTTCTACAGCACCTGGGTGTCCTTTTACCTCCATTTCCCTGTAAACTGGTCCAGTGGATTTTTGAAAACCCCATACTTACAAGAGTGAGACTCCTTTCCTGTACCATCAAATAGATGAGATGTATCCTAGGAGAATTCCCTGAGAGGTAAAGGACCTGTTGGCAGTTGAGTCCTTAGGCTTCAAGAGAGGGATCTGCAGGCACTATTCATTCATAAATAAGGAGAAAGTTGCTTTTATTTTGCTTGGTTTTTAAATAGAATTAAAGGGGTGAACTGAAAAACATAGTAAAATAAAAACCAAGGTTTAACACTTGGAGTTTCTATGTAAAGTTATCTATTTAATAATACATAGTCAAAAATAATAAAACTGGACTGAACCCTGTACCCTGTGTTCAAATCCTAGTGATGTAGCCACTCACTAGGGAAAATTATCTAACCTCATTTTACCTTCTATCCCATTGGATAACAGGGATTTAAAAAAAAAAGCTGTTTTGTGGTTGTGGTGAGGATTAAATTAGTCAATATTGTACCCATTGTACCCAGAACCTAGGTAAGTGTTTTTATACTAAATGTTAACTATTATTTTTATTCTACGTGCCAGGCACTGGAATTATGACAATGAACAAGAAAGATACAATCTTGTGCATTCACACAGATTATAGGCTAGTTAGACTAGAAAGCAGATAATTACAATATATTTTATTAAGTAAGTGAATGGAGAGATGCTGCAGTACTCAATCACATATGAAGGACATGTAAATGGATTTGAGGACCAGGAAAATCCACCTAAGGTAGGCAATCTCAGGCTGATAAAAAGAGGTTTATTATGGTCATCTGTCTTATTAAATAATTCTACATAGGACTGTATTCCACAACCCTTTTATATTATCACATGGTAGTCACTTAATACATATAATCATTGTTGAATAAATTCCTCATATGTAAAGCCAAGTAATATCCTTGTCAGCTGTTTGCAAGTTAATTGTTATCAGACAGACCCAGTTAAGCTCTTCTCTATCTGTAAAGTGGCTGATACAATAGAACCTACCTCATAGGGTCATTTTGGGATTAAATATGTATGGGAAGCATTTAGCACTGTAAAACTAGGACATAATCAACATCCACAGAACAGTGGTTTTATGAGTACTCTTTCTTTGAGCCTGCTATGATCATTTTGCATCCAGTAATTCCAGATTATCTCCATGATTGTAATATGGTTTGTGTGTGGTTCTGTCCTTGATCCAGATCACAGGATTTCCCATCCAGATGCGATACACTGATGTACAGTCTGTTATTGATGCTGTGTATCAGACTGGAATTCACGCTTCTGAATTTCCCCAGACAGAATATGCTTTAGCTGTGTACATTCACCCATACCCAAACAACATACTGTCTGTGTGGGTCTACTTGGCTTCCTTAGCCCGACATCAGTGAAAAGAAGAAGGGAAAAGGAAAAGATAGAAGCCACTAAAGCTTTTCTGGTACCATGGAATTTGGCTGCTTATGCTCAAGTCCAATTGCATGCTGAGCCTTATTTACCTACACAATTGGGCACAATGGAGACTAATCCCCACCCCCAAGTCTTTAAGGATGAATCTAGATGACCTCTTCACCAGAGACCTCCTTCAAGAGGACCAAGAGGACGCTTGGGGCATTGAGGCTGTTGGGTGTCACTGTCTACAGTAGGCTTCACATTACTTCTGCCTGGAGAGTCTTGTTGAAAATGCAGATTCTTGGGTGCCTTGCAAGACCTACTGAATGAGAACCTCAGAGAGTGGAGCTTCAGAGCCTGCGTGATTTTCAACAAGCTCCCCAGGTGATTCTGTAAGCGAAAGCCCAGCCTTACAGAATGTCATCATTATTGAAGTGAAGCTGGTGTGTTTGATATTGGTACCTACTCCAGATTGAAGTTGTGGAAGGACAAAGAGGGGAAAAAGCAACCACAGCTGTTCTCTTGAGAGAGGAATCTCTGCTCCCTTGAGTTTTAGGCACCTCTGCATCCTCCCCCGTGCTGTGCTGCTACCACAGCCGGATGTAACAAAAGCACCTTTGAAACTGTCCCTTGCTCCCCTGCCCTCCCTTTTGCCATTTCACTCCTCCCTAATTTTTTTTTTTTTTCTGAAGAAAAAAACCCTTCCTTAGGTTTTTCCTGACTAGCTGCAGGAAAGTCCATAGCAATATCCTGGCCACAGAAGAAGAAAGGAAATACACCCCTGGGTGATCAAGACATCCCCCATCCCCCAAGAGCCTGTAGACTTCCTATTCTCTGTACTTCCTTTTCCTCCCAACAAAAGCCTTTCATTCCTGAGCCCTCTCAAGATGGAGCTTTGAGGCAATAAAAAAGTCCATCTTTTCTCAAGATTGGTGGCCCTTGAATAAACATGATTCTTTCCTACCAAAGCTCATCTCCTGAAGACTGGTATTCCAGCAACAGGCAGCAGGGACATTTTATTCTGGCAACAGGATTGCTTGGGGGCTGGAGAAGGGAGGGAAGGAAAGGGGAAAGAAAGAAGGAAGGATATTGCCTCAACTTGTGAGCATTATGAGCACCATTCCTCATGATTGAAAGGATTCTAGTGTTTTCTTTCTCTCCACCCATGTTCTGGTAGCCATTTCTGGATTTCAAGCTAGGGATCCTGGAGAAAGAATGGGGTAATTCACCACCAGTTTGGTGATATTTCAAATTATGATCTACCCTAGTCATCTGCTATTATTTACTTTTTTAACCTGTCCAGGTTTTATAGCCACATTCAATGAGAAAGAAAGGGAAAAGTTTGTTTAATCTGTTGTATTTGAGGTCTCCAGAGATAGAACCAATAGAACGCGTGTGCACCCGCGTGTATGTGCACGTGTATGCACGTGTATGTGTGCATATAGGATGTGTGTGCATATATACACATGTATGTGTATGTAGATGTGTATATATATATGCAAATGTAAATATGAAGATATAAAAGAAAAATTAGCTCACATGATCATGGAGACTGAGAAGGACCAAGATCTTCTGTCAACAAGCTAGAGATTAGGACAGTCAACATGTCCCAATCAAATCCCATCCAAATCACCCTCAAAGTATTTGACTAAGTATCTGGGCACACTATGTCCCAGTAAAGTATATACATAGAAATAACTATTATATCCATCTTATCTGGAGTAGAATCTCATGTAGCATTTTGAATTCTGGAACACTTTCTGGTAAACTAATTATAAATACCTACAAATTCTAGCCCCTATTTTTAAAAATAGCTTTAGAAAGTATTATTTTTTTTCTTTATTTTATGTGCACACGTGCACACACACACACACACACACACACACACACACACACATATATATATATATATATATATATGTTGTAGACACAATACCTTAATTTTATTTATTTTTATATGGTACTGAGGATGGAACCCAGGTGCCTCATACGTGCTAGGCAAGCACCCTATCACTAACCTACAATCACAGCCCTAGAAAGTATTCTTAACATTCTATGTTATGCTAAAGTGGTTTGGAAAAGTGACTCAGGAAATCTTCTCTATCAAGTGGGAGTATACAATGGTACAGCCCTTGCCTAGCATGTGTGAGGCCCTAGGCTTGATCCCTAGCTAGCATCACAAAAATAAATACATAATAGGTGTAATTTGCCTTTTTTATAACCACCCCAGATGCTAGCTAGGGTCAAATTTCTTGGAGAAGGACAGGAGGAGTACAATAAGACAATGATGCCTTAAGCAAGGATGTTAATATGAATAGTAGTTCAGTGAGATTAATAGTACAAATCACAACTAATCAAGAACTGGAGAAAAGGCTTCTGGATACCAGTCTTTACATTCACTAGAGCACAATGTAGCCACTTAAAGGAATCCTGGGTGTTCAGTCATGGAATGTTCACCAGAATATATGTCAAAAACAGGTACACAACATAGATTGTAATGTTCTACCATTTGTGCACAAAATGGGGTAAAGGGCCATACACATGGATGTTTATAAAGACTTGGATTATTTCTGGAAGAATACAAAAGAGTAATAGTGTTGCCTCTAGGAAGAACTGGGATCAGGAGAGTGAAAGATTTGCTAGTCATTGTGTACAGTCTTCTACTGTTTAAATGTTTTATATTTTGCATGCATTTGTTTTTAAAAAAAAAGTCTTTTTTAAAAAGTGGCTTTTCACTGAGTAAAGTTCAGTGAGTTACAAAAGCTGTCCAGAAATTCTGACCACACCCCATCTCTTGCCAAATCCACTTGTGTCTTCTACTGCAGGCACACTGGACTCTATAGTTTCCATTCTCTGCTCTTAATGTAGATGTTCTGTCTTTTTCACTTCAGTCCTTTTGTACCTTTGTTGATCATTGCTTCCTAAATTTGGAAACCTTTCCTGTCTTCACTCCAGCTAGAGAAATCAGTCTCCATTTTCATTCCAAACATGCTTTCTCCTTACAGCCTTTGTGTTTGCCATTCCCTCTACCTGGAATATTCAACCACCAGGTATCTGCATGCTTCCTCAGTCCTTTGCACACCCCACCTTACTATAAAACAATGCCCCCGTTCTCGCCCATGGTCACATTATAAACCTCATATCCTGTTTATTTTTTTTTTCACCACACTTGTCACCATGTGATGTGTTTGTTGTTGTTCATTTATCATGTTTATCTCTTCCTAGTAGAATACAAACTTCGGGAAAACAGAGACTTCATTTAGGAATAGGTGAAATGCCTTGTATCCAGTTTGTGCTAAAGAAAGTACTAAAGAAATCATAACAAACCTGAAATTTGCATTTTAGGGATGTATAATCACAGTGGGGACACGCACACATGCCCCAAACATTAATGTATAAAAGAAATAAACACAAGTTTTATAATGAGGCAAATCCAGAAAAATAACATAAAGATGATTTCTGAACAAATGTCTTCTAATGAATAACGTCTTCAAAGTAGAAACTAGGAGAGACAACCTGTTTATTACACTGATTATTATAGTCTGTGACCCCTTTTTCTGAAAGAGTTCTTAAGGAGGCCCTGGACATTTAAGTCATTTGTAGGCCAAATTATTGTCATAAAGTTGCTTAGAAGTCAGGAATTGGAAACTTAAGGAGGCAGGTACTATTTAAATGCCATTAAAAAAAAATGGTAAGATTTTATCCTTATGTGTCCTTTCCTGAGATATGTCAGGCAGCTTCTCCCTGGACTTTGCCAGGCTATGCCAACTTCCACTTCTGAGTTTCCCTTTTCTTGACATTGGTTCCTATTGCCCTGTTCTCCTGGGCATAAACATTGTCTATGATCGGCTGTCTAAGCGTATGGTCTGCTGCTGTTCTGCCATTGTGACAAACCTCAAATTCACAGAAGGTCCATTCGTCACTTTGTAGTAATTCTTTATCATTCTGAGTCTTTTGGGATTCAAAAGCAAAAGAGGTGGGTCCTATAATTTTTTAGTATTAAGAGTCTGATTTATTATGTGCAGATCTGTCTTAAACTGACCATCCCCTTCTTTTGTGATAGTCCACCAAACGTGAAAATAACAATTGATTTGGCTTCTGCTAATCACATTTCAGTTCCAGCACCCCTTAATTGATGTTGCAGTGTTTCCAGTTTTGTAGTTTCCTGATTTACTACCACAGACGGTTAATTACATCCTCTATGGATTTGACAAGCTAGGTTATTGAAGGTAATATTAATTCCCTTCTTGAAAAGTTCTCGGGAATCTCTAAAGCAAAGAAATAAGGCGAAGGATAGGATTAATTAGGTTTCTAAAAGAGGAGTGGATTTTGAGGTAGAACACCTCTCGGAGATAACACCTTAGAGATTACAGAAACACCTAAAACCCATTTAAAAGGCCTGATGATCCCGAGCATCCCCTAGGATGTAGCAATCTGAGGTAAGGCCCATTGGTTTCAAGCTGTGAAGAGCTTTAATCGGGCAGAATAAGGCGTCCGAACTTTCTTTTGCTTGCACGCGGGGCACCGAACGTTCTCAGCAGGTGAGTGGCTTAACCAGATGGGTCACCTAATGGTCAACATTAAAATTTCTACCGCTCTCAGGCCGGTTTCGAAGAAGCTGAAGGACGGGCTCCAGGCCCAAAGCACAAGGGCCGACCGAGCCACCCGGGACGCCGTGAGCACCCGGGAGGGGGCCGTCGAGCAGCGGAGCCGCTGCGGGGCGTAGCACCTGGGCCCGGCCTGGCCGCCGATTGGACGGCTGGGGGCGACCCCGCTGTATCGCGAGAAGAGATTGGCAGTGCAGGACTGCATGTGCCCCCGCGCTGGCTTTGTACGCCCAGCCGCCCGCCGGTCCTTTAACAATGGGCGGCGGGAGCGCCCCGGCGCTGGGCCCGAGCTGAGGCCGGCGCGTCGCTGCCGACTGTCCGCAGCATGAGCGGGGCCGGGGTCCCCCGCACGCCGGCGGGGCTGGGGCTGTGAAGGCCGCGGTTCCGGGTAAGAGAGCCGCGGTGCGGCCGAGCAGGCCTGGGCCGGGCGCGGGCACCAGTCCCGGGGGCGAGGCGCGGATCCTGGCCGGCCCGGCCTTTTGTTCGCCATTCAGGGTCCGCGCGGTTCCTCAGATCCCGGGGAGGAGCGGGCGCCCGGCCTTCTGCGGCTGGGCCGGGGGCCGGCGGACGTTCGTTCCTGGCCTCTCGGAGGGAACTTTGCGTCCCAGCGGGGCTGGGACTGGTGTCAGTTCTACCCGCTCCTCGGAGCGTTTCAACCCGGGACTCCAGGAGTCCGAAGGCGGGCCTCCCGCCCCGGCTCTTGCCCAGCTTGCAGCCAGGTCTGTGCGTTGGCAGCTCGGGGTCCGAGTCGATCCCCTTCTTTCCCTGAAACTAGTTGGGCAGTTCCCTAAATAAGCTAGCTCCTCCTGAGTGCATAGGACGGGTCTTAAGTGTGGGATCTAGGAACTGTTGGGTGAGTCCTGGGCTTAGGACGAGTGAGGTGAAGAGGAACAGCCGCACCGGGTAGCTGAGGTCACACCCCTCAGGGAGGGGGCGCGGAGGGTCGTGGGGGAAGTTGCTGGCAGTGACCGCGTCTGGGGCGTGTCTTCCAGACTGAAGTTGCCGCGTCTGGCTAGGCGCGCCGCCGAGTCTCATGGAGCTGGAGGGGCAGTGGTGGCGAGGACAACTGGCTGCTGATATTCACCAAGCGCTTCGGTACAAGGTAACACTGGTTCTCAACCTTGCCATTCGGGGTCTTGCGCCAGTTAAAATGAACCTCAAGTTCCCAGAAAGTCCAGGTCTTCCAGGCCAGAAAACCCTAGTTCGCTTATTTGCTCAAGGTTAATTAACTTATTCGTTCCGTCCCTGGGCTATTATCAGAAGAACCTGCAACTTAAATGATGCGAGGGCTTAGGAAAGGAAAAGTGGATGTTCTTGTCT